GTCTGGGCAGCCGCTACTGATAAATTATACCAACAGGTAAAGATATATTATTTACTAGCTGTTCCCGTGCGACTTCATCCGCAAGAAATTATGAAAATTTTGTTTTATTATTTACATTTGTCAAATTATCAATAGCAAAAATCAAAATGACATGATGACAACCTTGCTTCCTTGTTGGCAGCAAATTATAGTCTCTTTCTCACATTAAGGTTTTTATTCAAAATATTTACCCTCTAAGTTTAATGGCGTTAAATATATAGCCTAAAGCGTGAGCCAAGTGTAGTAGGGCTTTTTATTAAAAAAATAATTATTCAAAATATGGTCTAATTGCTTACATCTTCGGCAACAAAGAAGTGTGTTTTCACGCTATTAAACTTATGAGGAAAATAAATTGAAAAAAGCTGTCATGTAGGAAAGGGACCATAAAGTACAAGCTGCCAACATTAAGGAAGCAAGGTTATTATGGTAACTATAATTTTGACTTTTCAGTTCAGAATTTCACAAATGTAAGTAATAAAAGTTTTTAGAATTTAATGCGGATGAAGCCGCATTGAAACATCTTGTATTAGTAAATAGAAGTAATACAGTAGAACCTCGATAACTTAAACCTCGGTAACATAAAAACCTCCATAACTTCAAAAAATATGTTCCCTTTCCATCAGAGCACAAAACCTACAACATAATTAATAACTTAAAACCTCTATAACTTTAAATATTTTGTATTTCCCTTGGACTTTAACTTATCGAGGTTCTGTATAAATAATTTTATATGCCAGGATGACCACGGGCCGGTGCGTACTATCCGGCACGCGTTGAACGCGGTGTCATCGGATGTCAACAAGCTGGCTGCCTTCACACAGGATAATGAATATGACATGATGTCACTCACCAATGTGCAGCAGGATAAGGTACGATCGATATTCTTTAGGAAGGGTAAGGGACATGTATGTCCCCTACCCTTCCATGCAGTATCTTCATAGGGAAAGATAGAGACTATCATGTACCCCGCCCTTCCATCTATTTACTTCATCGGGTATCATAGAGGACTGTTATGTCTCCTACCCTTCCTTTTGCACTTCGCCTTACCCACTATTCTTATAAGAGATGACAAGGATAGGGAGATTTATACCTGGGAACGCAGTATTTGACTTCGCGTCCTCTTACTTGTCTATTAATATGGGCAAAGTATTTAAAAATTAAAATGTCTATGGGTAGTTGCTTCGCTATATCGGCGAAGTAATGTGGCTTATATGTCTGCATTGTGATTTATTTTTGATTTTTATAATAATACTAGATTTCGCCCGCGACTCCCAAATTTCATCGAAATCCGTTCAGCAGTTTAGGCTACAAACTCTAACAAACATCCATCTAAACTTTCGCATTTATAATATTAGTATGATTAGTATAATAATATCTCGTACTTATTAATGTGTGTTTTATTTATATAAAATACCAGTCAGATGCAGACAAAATAATTTAAATAATAAAAATGCTCTCATTGTGTTAAGGGTTTTTTTATATACTTTTTTTGTTTCATCCCTTCCAGCCTACCCCACCAGTGGTGGTCCGTGCTCAGTTAGTCAAGAAGCAGCTAGAAGAGACAAAGACCCTCACCATCAAGTTGGAGAACAAGGAAGCTGATATTAAGGAACTGAAGAAAGCACTCAAGGTAATGTAAAAATGTCGTTTACTAGCTTTTGCCCGTGACTTCGTACGTACGGAATAACAAAAAAAAGACTAACACATAGTCCAGACTATCCTCTACATCTATGACAAATTTTATATAAATCTGTTAAGTTGTTTTAGAGACAAGCAGTAGCAAATATTCAATCTAAACTTTCGCATTTATATTACTAGTTGTTGCTCGCGACTTCGCCCTCGTGAATATAAAAAATGTAGCCTATGTTGCTCACTGATAACGTAGCTTTTTAATGGTGAAAGAATTGTTAAAATATCCCCAGTAGTTTTTGAGTTCAATACATACAAAAATACAAATATTTCCTCTTTATAATATTAGTATAGCTTCGTCCACGATTTCATCCGGCGTAATTAAAAAAAATAATAAGTATGTTCTTTCAGACTGTCCTCTACATCTATGACTTTCGTCCATATCTATTCATTTTAGCCTACATCCATCCATCCATCTCGCATTTATATTT